TGTAGCTTTACGTTTTTAAAATTGTTGAAATAAGCGATTCGGATAATCAGAGATTCGGTTAATTGGAGTTCGGATAATTTGAGTTCTATTGTACATGGGTCAACAATGGAAGAATGCAGATCCAACCTGTATGCTTGCCTCAACCAACTTCAGAAATATGACCTTCACCTCAATCGGCAAAAGTGTTCATTCTTTAAACAACGCATCGAATTCCTTGGTCATGTTGTTGAACACAACAGGATTCTAAAATCACCAGAGAAGATCAACGCTATTATCAAAATGAAACAGCCCACATCCATCGAAGAAGTTAGAAGATTCTTAGGAATGGTAACATACTATTCACGGCTCATTCCTAATCTCTCAACCCTCACTGCGCCACTGCGACAACTTCTAGTAAAAAATGCTAAGTTCTACTGGAACAGAAAATGCACTGAAGCTTTTGATCGACTCAAGAAAGAAATTGCCAGTGAACGAGTTTTAACACCATTTGATCCAGCTTTACCTGTTCAACTTGCCTGTGATGCCAGTCCTCAAGGTGTTGCAGGAATACTCTCTCACATCGACCCTTCAGGAGTTGAACGTCCTATTGCTTTCGGGTCCAGATCTCTGACAAAAGCTGAGCAAAACTACTCACAACTAGACCGTGAAGCTTTGGCTATAATCTTCAGTGTGGGACATTTTCATCAATACCTGTTTGCAAGACCCTTCAAGCTAATAACTGACAATCGACCCCTTGTAAGAATCTTTCATCAGAACGCGAAGATACCTCAAATGACTTCAGCAAGACTGCAGAGATACGCTGCATTTTTGTCAGGCTACAACTACGAAGTAATCTCCAAGAAAGGGACAGACAACTGTAATGTAGACTGTCTATCAAGAGCTCCAATCGAATCATCATCACACACAGAAAGATCAATCAACGCAGAAGTAAATCAAATATGTGAATCGTCAATTGAAGTAATTTCAACACTTAATCTCACACATGAAACAATCCAAGAGGAAACCAGAAATGATCCAAATTTGTCAAAATTACTGAAAGAACTGCGTCAGAATCAATCAGAAGACTCAGAATTTACCATTTCTGATGACATCATCTTCCGCGGTTCTCGAGTTGTTATACCAGCAAGTCTTCAAGACTCCGTCCTTCAAGAACTTCACTACACACACATCGGATCGACAAAGATGAAACAACTTGCCCGCCGTTATGTGTATTGGAGATCCATCAACAAAGACATCGAAAGAGTTGTACGAGCATGTCCAGCATGTGTTTCTACCAGACATAGTCCACCCAAAGCTCCCTTACACCCTTGGGAGGAACCTGAAGGTAACTGGCAGAGAGTACACATTGACTATGCTGGTCCCTTCCAGAACCACCACTCATTGTCATAGACCAGTCATTGTGGATGCCAAATCTAAATGGGCTGAAGTAGAAGTATGTTCATCTGCTCCAACTTCATTATCAACCAGAGATGCTTCAGAATGTATTCTCACGCTACGGCTTCCCAGACGTAATGGTATCGGACAACGCTGCGATTTTTGCTAGCGACACATTTCACCAGTTCTGCAAAGAAGGAGGAATTTTTCAGAAATTCATAGCACCGGGACATCCAGCGACCAACGGGTTGGCTGAAAGAAACATTCAGACCCTCAAAAATCGACTTTTACCATGATTGAAGAACGTTTCACAATGAAACAAAAGATTCGGGAAATACTCTTCATATATCGAGCTACACCCTTGGCCAGCGGGAAGACACCTTCAGAACTTTTTCTCAACAGACAAATTAGAATCAAACTTGATGCGTTAAAACCACCAAAACATCAAAAATCCTCAATTCGACACACCAAAGCAAGACAGTACAAAGTAGGAGACAGAGTCCAAGCACGGTACTACCCGAACAACAAAAATCTGTGGAAACCAGGAACCATCATTAAGAAGTACGGACTCTTACACTACCTGATTAGACTAGACAGTGGATATATATATTTAAAAGACACATCGACCAACTACGACTTACTGAAATACCATCAAAGACTGTTAAATTTGCTCCCACAGTACAAGAAGCTACTTCGGAAGAACCAGGACCACATCATCCATTTGAAGACCTCATCACCATCCCTACTGAACAACCACCGCCACAAATCAATGAACAACCTCAACATGAGACAGGAAACGAAAGTCCAGTGCTGCGCAGATCCAACAGAACACATCGCCAGCCTGAATATTTGAAAGACTTTGTCAGGTCTTAATTTTGTTGTTTTTTTTTCTTCAATATTGCCAGTTTCAAAACAAAATTATCCTTTCTAATAAGCGTGGGAGAATTATAGTATATCAACTACATGTTTCATAATTATTCAATCAATGTTCTATGTTGGCAATAAGTAATATATAAATCATATGTCATTATTAATAATTAAAGTGAAAATAAGTTATCAACAACATTAGACATTTTTGTACCAATAAATCTTCCAAAATGAAGCAACCTTTTCAATTATTAAAATCAACTAATACGCGTGCATAAACAAGGCCACGACAACCGTCATCAATCTCATTAGCTTTGAAATAATGCTTAAGCCTCATAGCATATGATTCAATGGACTCATCTTGTGGGTTAAATTCACCAACTTTACCTATTCCTGCCATCTTAGTCTTTAAGTTTACCTCCCTTTTTCTGGAAGTTTAGATTTATCTTCTTCAGGATCTGGTATATTTAAAAAAAAAACTACTTTTTAGACTTACTATCACTCGGAACGAGGTCCGTTTAATTTGACTGTGCCATTGTAATATTTTAAAAGAACAAGATAAAATCTAGTGTATTCAATTTATTCTCCATTTCAATCACAACTCAATTATTATTGTTATTTTCAAACTTATCAATCAGAACAAAACAAAAGTCTTTAACATCTGGAATGCAACCAACATTATAAAATCAATTGCTGCTTCTTGTACAATTAATATAAACATACATTACAGTTTACTTATATTTAGCAGCAGTGATTTTGTTATAAAGGATAGGTAAGGACGATTTATTTAATAATGTCAGAACTATGTTGGCGTACCAAATCTTTTGTTAGTAAAGGAAATGTCAATTGGTGTGGTAGGTCTCTAGAAAACTGTCTAATAAGCTGTAGGGTGTCAGTATATACCAAATTTGATTCATACCATACTATATTATCCCAGTAGTATGTATGGTTCAGAAACTTGGGCCCAGACCAAAGAAACGAAAGCCCTTATTGCTGGGTTTGAGAATGGAGTACAGAGAAAATATACGGGCCATTTCAAGATAACTGCAGTTGAGATACGAAAGAACAGAGAGCTAAGAGAAATGCTTAAACACCCAGATATAGGGGTGCTTTCTGCTTTGCTTCCCAGAAGTAAAAGGCTCGGAAGGACAGGCTATGCGTTGAGGAGAGAAGATACATCAAATTTAAAAATGTATTCCAAGGACAACTAAGACGTCCACTTGGAGGACCAAGCAATGAAAGACTTCTCCAGACTAGGATCAACACTAGAAGAGGCAAGGGATAGAAAAGAGTGGGAGGCCAAAATCCGCTTAAGGTTTCAGTGGCCACTGAGGTAAACTAAGGTACTCTTTTAAGTGATAGTACGCAATGGAAGGTGATATGTAGCTACTGTATCTTATACCAGTGTGTGGGAATCACCCCCAAACCTACTTCAAGGCTTTTAAAATCACTGTTTTAATGTAAAATAATGAGATTTAAAATGCATATCATATAATCGGATTCGAAAGAAATAGATAGTCACGTGATATTTGTTTACAAGATGATTTTCCCTATTAAAACAGGCAGATTTTTTCTTTATGCGTGTAAACTAGCTGTTCTGAATTATATTCAGTTTTAATCGACTACTTGATCCCCGTACTTAGGACGGGCCATTAGCTAGTATAAATATAAAGTATCAGTGAAAGAAGCAACACTTCACAGTAATGCATTTCATATAGAAAATAGCAGCAATAAATGTAAAGCAGCTTGAGATTTAATTAAGAAAAACAGTATCTAGATCTAGTGATGTAGTGGCACCAAAAATTGATCCAGACATTATAAATAATTACATCAATAACTCTATTATTGAAAAAAAATATATAAAAAAACTAGACATCCGAAGGACGTGTAGTTCTTATTTGGACTTTGTAGATGAAAAATTGAATAAAAATAACACTGTATTTAGTTGGAATGAAACAACACCTAAAATGATAGTTAATGCAGTAAAGAAAATTAAAAATTCTAATAGTAATGATGTGTATGGAATGTCAAACAAATTACTCAAATGGTTTGGATGTACCCCTTGCGATGAGTACAAATGCATTATTAAGGGAAGGATTATTTCCAGATTCAATGAAGATTTCTCACGTTTGCCTGGTCTATAAGAAGGTTCCCAAAAAAATAAAATACTCACTAAGACAGGCAAAAGCTGCCTCCAAATTATTAAATGTGTAAATCCTCGTTTTCAACGTACTTCTTTTGAAAAATTGTTATTTTTCACCATAAATCATAACAAAAACCAACTTTCATTATTACATTAGATCCCCTCTTATCTGGACAACTTTTAACCGGACATCGGTTTAGCCGGACCACACTCGGCGGAAATGACATCTCTTTAACCGGACAATTTTTATCAACACATCGGTTCAACTGGACTAGATCGGCAGGAAGTGCACGGTACTGAAACAACTGTTCTTGTGGGAAACATTTGAGACCAGAGATCACGTGTCTAAATACAATGCTCTCCTAAATCTAAGTCGAAAATACTGTAAACAGTATGCATTTAAATGTTCTGTTTTTTAACGAGTTTTTGGGGACGTCGGCTTAACCGGAAAACCCGTTATCCGGACTGGCCTCGGTAGGCATTTAGTGGTAGGTTACAAAGATTTTTAAAACTGAATTATTATATAAGTAGATTTTTTGTTTTGATTATAAGTAATTTACATCCATTGACATTTAAAGTTAATCTCCCAAATATCAAATTAAATATATTGTTTCAGGTGAAGTCGGTGAAAACAGGATCCATTTTCTGGGCTTGTTTGGCTGCCCTGTCATACTTTTATATGGTTAGTAGCTTGTTATTTTAATTATTGATGGCTGTTGTAAGGAGTCGTTTCTAAACTAAATCACAATTAGTTAGTTGTTAATTAAATATAATTTGTAAATTACCTAACCTTAAAATTTTGTATGGTTGAGTTTATTTGTTTTTAGTACAGAATTTTTTTTGCCGTTTATTAGCTTTGTAGGATTATGATACTTTAATACTTTTAATACTTTAATACTCTTCAATGAAATGGCTACCATACAAAGTAGGTATTTTAAGCCAAGTATGAATGGAGATGAGTGTAGGATGAGTGGCGTGATCTTGTAGTCTTGTTAGTGACTAAGGCCGACTTATTCCTTAGACACTGACACAGCTTTTAATTACTAGCCCATACAGCTAACTAAGGGGTGTCCCTATCTTAAATAACCGATATAATTGATTGATATCTTTATTCTTTCTATTAATAAAACATGATTCCTTACCTTGGAGGGGGGGGGGGGGCTTAAGTATTATATGAATATTTCAAGCTAGGGCACAAGCACTTACGCACAACCCTTTAAATCTCTCGAAGGTAAAATCCTGTGGCAAATAGTTGTACTACTTAATGCTTATTATACTTTAATACTTTTCATTGAAATGGAGACCATACAAAGTAGGTATTTTAAGCCAAGGTACATTTATAGTGTTAATGATAAACATGCCCTGGCCAGTCTCGCTGTGAATGCTTCTTGCGTCTACTGTAGTCAAGTGGTTGTTGATTACAGGTGTCAGCATGGGGGGGCTACGTGTTCATCATCAACCTGATTCCACTACATGTGTTTGTGCTGCTCATCATGGGAAGGTTCTCCAACCGTCTGTTCACTAGTTACACCACCTTCTACATCCTGGGACTGTTGTTCTCCATGCAGATTCCGTTTGTTGGCTTCCAACCTATACGTACCAGTGAACACATGGCAGCTTCAGGTTAAAATTATATAGTTGTGTCATAACTATAATACAAGCTATAAAATTGTTCTTTCCAGGCTCCTAACAGTAGTCTTTGTTTGTATCAAAACATTAGTATTCTATTTTTGGGCCAGTCTACTTCCTAAAATTAATTTAAATGGATGTGATTTTAAAAGTTGTGTCTAAATTTGATCAAACCAAAGGATTTAAAGGAACCATATTTTTCACTAAGAGCCTAAAAAGAAAAGGGATAGTGTCTTGGGCCTGCCCCAGCATTGAAAGTAGGGTGGTGAAGGTGGTAGGTTGTACATTAATTGAAATCTATATGTCTATTATAATTTCTAAAGTGTTTTTTTTTTCAATACACCATAACCTCCTTACTTATTTATCAGTTTTCATAAATTAGGTGTCATTAAAGCCTTCATCTACCGCTACACTGGAAAAATATACACCCTACTCACATTTCAGTAGTTTCTTGAAAAAGATAAATTTAAATTCATAATTTAATTTGAACCCAAACTTTGATTTATAAATATTTTCCAAAATCTTTTTCTGTACTTGGTTTTTACTTTATCCACGACGGCCAATTAACTTTGTCTCCAAACACTTCATGTAGTCTAATGGTCAATGGGATGTCTGTAAAAATAACACCAAATACATTGGATGAAAATTCACCGTAATCAAACGATCTCATCTGTGAGTACAGTAGGCCTACGCTCTCGATTATCCGAGCCCCGGTTATCCGAGCCTCCGGGTTATCCGAGGTTGTTTTAGGCCTAAATATTTTTATTTTCAGGCAGAAAGAATAATTAGTAATTACGTACCGTAGGCCTAATTTTTGATTTCTTAAAATTACTGTAATACTTTAAATAATGATTATAGTTATTATTTTAACGTAAAAATGATCCGCAATAACATAGAAAATGAAAATCACACACACTACTAGCATTTCATTGTACTATTTTGGCCGCTAACAGTTTTTGGTTAGCTGGACGAGTCATCTGCAGAACGTTAACAAAAGCAGTAGCATTTATGCTTGGGCATTGCCACCTTTTATCGCCTTTTGTCATAACAATGTTTTAATATTGACTTGATTCTGTCAAGTATAGTTTAAGTCAAACTCCATCAAAAATAATTTTATACTTAAAAAACTGTAGAGGTACACCTTATTGTGTTTTTAAATCTGGCTTGGCATAATAATACTGTATTTAAAGTTTTCCAAGACAATTTAAGAAGTGTTAAGCATGTTTAAGCTAGGCCTATTGTTTTTCTTAATAACCCTGCCTTATTTAAATGCATTTTCCATTAAATACCAATTATTGATTATTTTGTATTCACTATGCATTGTTATTAAAACATATACTTTACTATGTCGTAACGGTACTGTAATCCCTAACCTCAAAATCTAAGACACCTCCTTGTTATCCAAGATTCTCGGTAACCAAGGTAGTCTCAGTCCCAACAACCTTGGTTAATCGGTAGTGTACTGTACTACATTAGTAGGCCTAACCTCCACGTTAGAGGCCCGAATCTTTAGAGGACCTTTGTATTGTAGATGCGGTGCTTTGCTACACCTTTCAGGAAGCTGCAAAGCAGCTCCAACTGGCAGTTAAAGTCAAAAATGGTCTGCGTGGAGCTTTCGAGAACCATATGCCAACACAATTGACATGGAAATTTGAAATAATTATTTGCAAACTCTTCTCCCATGCTAACATACCGTAACTGTAGCACACTTTCAAAGACACGCTTAGCAAAGAGTTGCTTAGTCAAAACACACCCGCAGCAACAAGAAGAAATTGTTGTCAGCACGCTAGGAACTGCAAAGCTTTTAATCGGCCTTAGCCAGATGCAAGTATTTTGTTGTTATAGAGAAACATTTTGGTATTTTGATGATGTAAAAATGTTTATTTTCACATTACTGTCCATTTATACAGTATTAGGAGGTTTTAACAGGTTTGTAAAATATGTTTATGGCATGGAGAAACCCTGGTTTCAGTTATTTGTGGTCTCCCTCCCCTCCATTACCCCAGATAGTGGAGGTTCTACTAAACACAGTGAATTATGTGTGATTTGAGGAGGATGCGCAGTGTTTTGAGGTAAAGCAAATTTGTCTGAGGTAAAGAAGTGTGTTTTGGTTTGTTCTTGTAAGTGTCTAGAGCTTGTTCAAGCGTTTTATTTGGTTTGTTGAAGGTGTTTTCATGCTTCTAATTGCTGTGGCGGCACTCAAGTACATGCAGAGTTTCCTGTCCAAAGCGGAGTTCCGTTACTTGTTCACATTCGCCACGTTGGGAGCTGCAGGAGTCGTGTTTTCCACTGTAGTTGTGCTGACATACGCTGGAGTCATTGCTCCATGGAGTGGCAGGTTTGTGTTTTTTCTGTATGAAATATGTCAAAAGGGCTGAAAAAAAAAAAAAAAAGTTAGGCTATATATAAAATTACGATAAAAACTCCTAAGCTATTGTTATTTGTAATATGTAGTTTTTATTTGTCATTTCAGATTCTACTCCCTGTGGGATACCGGGTATGCCAAAATCCACATCCCCATCATAGCTTCTGTGTCAGAACATCAGCCTACTACTTGGTTCTCCTTCTTTTTTGACCTTCACATCTTGGTCACAACATTCCCTGTTGGTTTGTGGTACTGCATTAAAGAGATCAATGATGAACGAGTGTTTGGTAAGTTTAAGAATCATTCTGCCCATATTTTCACCAAAGGTCTTTTTATCACAGTGTTTGTGAACAGAATTAAAATATTTTTTTAAACCTGCTTATTTTGAAGTATTATTAGTGTTAACCTGGATCTGATTACCGAAGAGAGTTGGTACTCTAGCGATATCAACATTTCTCTTCCTTGTAAATGGTACCATTATTAAGGTCTTCATTGGATTGACCCTCAGACCTTCCTGGTTACACCACCTCTCCACTATGGACAATACCCTCTGCATGAGTTCCAGGCAAGTGTTCATAAATTTTCCTCTTATTAGGACAACAATATCGTCAGCATATCCTTGAGCGTACATGGCCTGTGCATTGAGCTCGGACAGGATATCGTCGACCACCAGGTTCCATAGATTTGGTGACAAGACGCCACCCTGTGGACACCCTCTGTGGGCCTTGGCCTCTCTCACCGTCCTACACAGAGAAGCTTGCGCTCTCCTACTTTCGAGCATGTTGCCTATCCACCTCACTACAGTGCTTTCCACATTTCTTGACACCAGCTTTAATACAATAGAGCGAGTACTAGTGTTCTCACAAGCTCCTTCTATATCAAGAAATGCAGTTATTATATTAAGAAATGCTATTTTATTATTCGAGATAGCATTTTCAATCTTTCTAACCAGCGCATGCAGGGCTGTTTGGCATGACTTTCCCTTCCGATAGGCGTGTTTGTTTGGATGCAAAGGACGGCTTACAAGGACCCTATCCTTTATTCGTCCATCCACTAATTTCTCCATGGTCTTCAGGACAAACTATGTAAGGCTGATAGGTCTGAAAGCCATAGGCACAGCATATGTGTCCCTTCCAGGCTTCGGTATAAATACCACCCTTGAGGTCCTCCATGCTGTTGGTATAACTCCACTAGCTAAGCTGGTCCTAAAAAGACGCACCAAGGGGAGTATCAACTGGTCCCCACCTTCCTGCAAAAACACAGGATAGATGCCATCGGTACCAGGAGCTTTAAATGGTTGAAATGCCCTAAGAGCCCATTTTATAAAGTTAAAGGTAATCACAGCCCTAGCGCAAGCCCAATCTTCCCTTGCTGTCCGCACCCTAGTCTCTCTTTCCATCTCATCCGCGACTGTGCTCTGTGGTTGCAAGGATCCTGGGAAGTGAGCGCTCAAAAGGCTCTCCAGCACTTCTTCTGGACCGTCCGTATATGTGCCATCCTCATTAAGGTTCCTTAAGGTGGTTCCTAAAGGATTGGCCTGACCTCGAGCGAATACTCTATGAAGCTTTGCACATTCAGAAACACTCTCCTTGTTCTGACAGAATTCTCTCCATGACTCTTTCTTAGCTCTTCTAATTGTCCTATTGCAAACAGTGAGCATCTTTGAGTCAGTTGTTCCAGTTTCCCGTACGCTTTGCTACATTATACACACTGCGGACATTCCTCCTCAGAGCTTCTAACCCACTATTCCACCAGCATGCCTGTGCATGTTCTTTACAGTCTCCAGGCAGGTTTCTTGGTACGAGCTTAATATGGCCGCATTCAGAACATTCGCCATACTCTCCACCCCATGCCCTTCTGTGTCTTTTAATTGTCTTAGTCTGTCCCCTAGGACCTCTTGATACTGGTTCCAGTCTGTCCTTCTCACGTTCCTATTGGTCTCTTTTGTACAGATCGAACCTATAGTGAATTCAATGTAACTGTGATTCAACGCTGAGTGGTCATCAGATACCCCCCATTTTACAACCTTTGTCGCTGCATAATTACTGGCCAAAGCTATGTCCAAAACCTCTTCATTTAGTACCACCCATCTCCTTGTCTAAAGGTTGGTTTGGATTGGATCCCTTGTTTAGTATAACTAAATTAGATTCAGCTATAAAACTTAACAAGCTCTCACCTCTCTCTCTGTCAGTATCATATATCAACTCACCTTTTGCGGTGACCAACCCCATGATTCTGCCTCCTGCGGTCCTTGGCTCCAGGATCAGAGCCACGCCTATGCGGTCAGCAAAGATTTTCTGGCAAAGCGTAGCCGTAGCCGCCTTGCTGTGCTAGAGATTTATCTGGAGCACCGCAACCCTTCTCTACTTGTGAGGATCCTAGCTTCCATGCAACCTGAAGGTTACCCTCTCGCAGCCCAGGAATGGGCGCATCGCAAGAGACTTCAGTTTCTGCAATGAGTTTTTGTCAATTATCATGACCAGGAATTGTCCGCTAGGGTTTGATTTTCTTCCAACAACCGCCCAAGTGGTCTGTGTCAAGGTCATTCTGCAGCTTGAGGCCCTACATCACGTCCTTCTTGGTCATTGCCCCTGTTGTGGTGGGAACAAACGCTGATACCTTCACAGCTTTCACAAGGTCTTTGGCTGTAGCGAGTTTCTCTCAAAGGGACTCAGCTCCTGAATTTGCTTGACCAGCCAGTCCTTTGTGGCTGCGTTAGTACAGCCAACCACCAAGGCTCCGCCTTTTAGATGGCAGCTGCTTATCCTGACGTCTTTGCCACGAATGGCCCGTCTGGACAGCTCCCCCTTGACTTTATTGGCTTCGGCCTCTGTCAGTTTTCTATCCGAGTGTTCAGATCTGGCGATGGCCATCTTCTCCACGGACAGTGTCTCCGAATAGGTGGGTGCCGGTGCTCTCTGTGAAACACCGGACCCCTCTCCCTCCTTCCTCCTCCATTTCTTTTTCTCACCCACGGCCTCCTCGGGTGTCAGGTGTTCTCACCCCCTCTTTCCACCTGTCCTCCTGGAGGCTTCAATAGAGTCAGCTTTGGAAGTGTCGCCCTTGCCCTGCTTTTCCCCTGCATCCTGGTTCCCAGGGGAACTGGCTTTGCCGGGAGCAGGGTTCAGGTGCTTGGCAGCCCACGCCAGTCTCCTCTCACTTCCGGATAGCACCTTTTCACCTTTGGCTAAAGCCTCAGCTAACCTCCGTCTTCGTAGCTCTCCCCTGGAAAGTTGTTTGTTTTTTTGTTCCTTTCCAGTCTCGGGGAGCTGAGGCTTCAACATCAGATTTTAGTAGGCCTTCCTCCTCCATCTTGGCCAGATCTTCTACGTTCACACTAGCAATAGGAGTGTTTTCGACCTGTCGGTCACACTCTCCTTGCTCATCAACATTGGTCTAATCATTTTTTTTTGTTAATTTTTTTGGACTTCCATTTTTTTTCCACGAGTTCTGGGTATCTAAAGGTCCACCTCCCCAGTGACCCAATTAGAGAGATAAGGGGTTCATACGACTGGGTTCCCCCTGGTTCCCAGAAGGCTCCGTTACAGACACTGAGTATTAGGCCCCCAGTGCCGCATGACTCTCAGCAAGGGTCGCATACCACCTTAGCCCAGGGCCCGCAGTCCTCAGACATAGCTCTTGCTATAACTGAACGTCTGGGTGAGTGTCCTGATCTCAGAGAAGCAAGCTTCGTCTCAGACCAGTACGAAACACCCAGTTCTGTTGGTGCTGCTGCCCCCCACCAGAGAGTCATTCGGGACTCTAGCCTAGATCCGCCGAGATCAGCGATAGGACTACACAGACCTGCACTTTATTTTGTACTGGCCTTCTCGGACGGTCTTGGGCACCATTTCTGATGCCCCTGGGCAGTAAGTAGTTCCTCAGTTCTATATCTATGCACCCTTGACTGTCCGAGGAACTACCGCCCCCCTCAGCCCCCTAGAATAATGGCATTCTCATATTTTAGGAAATCTTGTAAATCACTGTTCAGGGAATTAAATATCTTAACTGTTCCAAATATATACATATTGAAAACCTTAATAGTACAATCAAACTATGAAAATTGGTTAAATGGTAATTTTGATCACAGATATAACACAAGGTTTAAAAATAATTTTCAATTAACAATCCATCGTCTGCGTCTCATTGAAAAGACACCAACATACATGGGGAAAAAGCTGTACAATAAGTTACCACTAGGTTTAAAAAATATAACCAATAGTCCAATACATTGGGATTTAAAAAGAATTTATAAACATTTTTATTATAAAAAAACTACTACCATATTAATGAGTACCCTATTTGTTGTGAACTATTTTTATTTTTAAAACAAAGTCAGTATTTTATTTTATTTTTGACTATAGAATGTAGGATGACAAACTATGTATTTATTATAATTTGACAATGTCGCCTGTTTTGTAGCTATGCTATGTATAAACGTTTTGTGGCAATAAAAATTGATTTGATTACTCATGTGACAGTGGTCCTGTACGCCATCAGTGCCGTCTACTTTGCCGGAGTGATGGTCAGACTGATGCTGACTCTGACACCAGTCGTATGTATCCTGTCTGGAGTGGCCTTCTCTCGTCTTCTGGAGCTGTTCCTCAAGGAGGAGGACAACCCTATGCAAGATAATGAGGACGGATCAGACAGCACCAACATGTATGACAAGGTAAAGCAACAAGTGTTCTCTCAAATCAGAGAATAACCTTGTAAATATTTAATGTGTTCCAGTAGTAGGAATAAACTCTAATAAGCATATTAGTATGAGTATACAGTGCAAATATGAAGAGATGCTTTTAATTAAACTGATCACACTTACTCAAGAAAAGTTTATCTGTGGATTATCTTGTACACTTACAAGAATATAATATGTAAGAGATCCTTAGTCAATAGCACCAGGCTGGGGGTCTGCTGTACAGAAAATTTAAAGTCGGTACGGTACAACATTTTGTACCTCAGTTCTCAGTACAAAATTAGTATGGCATGCGGCTACCATTATTTCTTACGTTTTCTTCTCAGAATTGTATTTAAACCAATATTTTTAATTTTAATAATTGACATTACTATGAAAAATCATGGTTTTCTAACAAAAATTACAGTACCACACATAATTAAATTAAAACCTATACTCCTAACAGGATTGTGTCAAGAAAAGATGGCTTTACCTATGTTACTACTAAGATAAGCCAAAACCATGATAAAAGAGGGTTTTAAAATTAGGTTAACAATTTTTTGTAATAAATATTATGTTTGTAACAACAATTTAATCAGATACTTTTACAAAACTACTGGTAAATTATTTCCAACTAGGCCTAAACATAATAACTGGATGTTCCTTTTATCTTAGGCTCAATTCAATTAAGTTTCTTAGTAGGTATATTTTAAAGATCTTCCAAAGAATCAAAAGACCCAGGCCTTGGCCTTATTATTTAGAAGGGTATATATCAATATAAATGTTGTTGGAAAATTTGGTAAGATTTCCTTATATTATCATATACAAAATTTAAAATTATTCCAAACAAAAATGGTGGTTCCCACTACTTATGTGATTTAAAAGCCATAAACGTTTATCAAATAAAGTGGTACTAGTGTACTTGTTGCTCAAATTCGACCAATTATGAAGTATTACAAGCGTTATTATAAAACGAATAACAGTTATAAATTTCCGATGACTTTAAAAGAGTCGACTCAAAGATTATGGAAATACGTTGTACATAACAGTTCGGTATAATCAACATTTCTTGTAATATCTTATCCTTTTTCAAAAGCTGATCTTGTTTTTAGTGTTTTCTACAAATGTTTCCCACTCATAGTCGCTCATTAGGTTGTCCATAATAACGATTATAAATTAAAAAAAAACATTATTTCTATTTCTTCTACTTAGTGGTGTTCTATGACTTTCCTAAGTTACCATAGTTTGCAATTCGGCTCTTTCAATGTTTGCTCAAGAAATGCAGCACAGTGTTAATTTAGTTTTCTTTTTAGTGTATCAAATTGTCCAGGCTTTCTCGCATTTTTCAATTGTAATATTTACGCCAATCCAAATTCAAATAGCCTAGTAAATATTTCATTTCAACCAAGTCAGTAAATGTTTGTTTGTAGCACACATTTCCTTGAATTGCAACTAAAATATTACCAGCAATTAAATTATCCAGCTGATCATATTGTAAACAAATATGTTCTTCATAAGGATAACATGGCAACTTTAAAAGCCACTGGAGCAGAGCCCAATGGACTAAAAAATTTAAGATCAGTTTGAAAATCTACACGCCTAGACAAACACGCCGAGACTTAATTCCAAAAGCTCGGGTTCAAATCTGGCCAGTTGCCAATGCTGATTTGGTTTGTGGTAATGTCTGTTCATATCTAACTAGCTGGCCCGACAGACGTCATCCTGTCCTAATGTAGTTTTATGTCAATGCTTGTTCATTTTCAAGATGAGCTCGTTCGCATGGCTCAATCACGTCCTGGTTGAAGTTCGTTTGCTACGCTTACTCACCTTTAGGTTGGAGCTCGTTTGCTGCGCTCACTTGCCTTTAGGTTAGCTCGTTCGCTACGCTAACTCGCCTCCAGGTTGAAGTTCGTTCGCTACGCTCACTCACCTTTTGGTTGCAAATTAGCTGTTGTCATAAATTAAAAAAAATAATAGTGCTGCACCCTGTTGGTAAACCTATTAACTTTTTAATGCTTTTGAACATTACAGAATCAAATTGTTTAGTCGAACCAGCTGTTATGATTCTTTAATTCCATTTAAATATAAGTACTCATAAGGTTAACATGGGGAACTACAGAGCCACTGGGGTGGAGCCCGAGAGGATTTTCGAGATAAGAATATGCCTAAATGTTAATCGGGAATGTGAGCTATCATCATGCTAAATTTCAGCCCAATCCGTCCGGTAGTACATGCGTGATTGAGCAACACACTAACAAACACACAAACTTTCAGATTTATAATATTAGTAAGATAAGATAAGATGGCTGTTTATATCTAATTGTTCATACCTGTCTACAAAACTGTCCCTGGTGAGTAAAATAAAACTGACTTGACATCACTGCCTAGGCTGGCAAGCTGCGCAAGATGAAGCATGAGCAGCAGAAGGAGGTCGATGGCCTAGGAGCCAACATCCGAGGTGTTGTGATTGTAGGTGTAGTGATGATGTTACTGATGTTTGCTGTTCACTGTACTTGGGTTACCAGCAATGCCTACTCCAGCCCCAGCATTGTGCTAGCCTCATACAGCAATGATGGGTAAGGGAATACAGAATAAAACTTCTGGATTATTCATAGTATTAAAAAAATAAAAAATAATAATATCTCTTGTTTTTTGCTGTTAGGTTTTTATTTGAGTTTGGGAATGCATTTTATTTTTAAAAGTAGATATGTGTACCTTCCACATTTCCTGTGGTTTTTTAACCTTAGTTCTGAGATTCTTCCAATGTTGTTGAAGTAACAAGAATACAGTAGAGTTCTGATATTCTAAACCCCACTGTTCCATAAATCAATTGACTAAAGTTTGGATATTATTTAATTTTTTAACAACATTTGTACGAAGCTAACTATGTCACTGCAAAGTCCTCGAAGCCAGTCTTGCCAGTGAATGTCAGAAAAGCTTGCAATGTCGACATCGCAGGAACTAACAAGTAACAATATCGCCCAAACTAGCAATATCGCTGGCGTTAGCAAAATCGATATGTCGTTGGTGTTTTTAGCAATACCGTTTAGAAGGTTGAAGATTCTAGCTGTGATTTTGCAAACATCAGATAGGCTATCAATGTCGCCATGAACATTGGCGAATTTAGATATGTGTTAATGAACGGTAAAGATGTTTTCAATTCACTAAAATATTGCAGCTAAATTGACATTCGCTTCCGTCAGAAATTCGGCAATGTTGTTATCATCTCCCGCATACGCTATAAAATATCATACTCTATCATCGTCATCATCAAGTAAAATTGTCACATCAAAATTAGGGGTCTGCGGGTCAGACTTTTTTGTTCCGGGTCGGGTCGATAGTTATGGCCCTCGGGTTTCGGGCCAAAATCGGGTCGGGCCAAAAATCATTAACCACCGGATATTTTTTTTGTTTTAACTGCTATCTATGTTAATAATATTACTTGATAATAAAACATGAAAAAAATTGTATCTATGTATATTTCTTCATTTTCATAACATATTAACAGCCTGGGAATTGCCTCATTTTAATAACTGTTGAAATAACCAAATAGGTAGGGGGCCTAGCTAAATTACAACAAATTTGAATGTAACCTAATATAAAAAGAAAAAGACCATAAACAGATCAATTAACATATCACAAGTTTAGGGACTGTGGACTGGCTTCAAGACTGCAAGCAAGAAGAAAATAAAAATAATATGTTTCCACAATGCAATATGTATAATTCATTCCCTGCCTCCTAACCTCATAAGTATAATAACCTCACACTTACAATAGCATTATTTGTTACATCATCATAAATAAAGAATTATCTATTATTGGAATCAGTAGGCCTACAGCTTTACATAGGCATTATTTTTTATAAAGCCTAAAATAGTAATAGGCTAAGCAACAAGACAAGTGAAGAACTCATTGAAGAAAAGATATTGTGTAAACTAATCTATACTTTTTACTTTTTTAATACGCAAGCAGGATTTTTGTGACAATTACTCCTCCGAAACTACTGAACCGATTGACATGTTTTTGGTGTCATTGGAAAGAGCGTAACGTGAAGTTGTGCAGGAAACTTTCTTTTTAGGGAAATAATTAGAGATTGAGGCCTGGGGGCCCTTTAAAGTTTCGTATTTCTCCATAAGATTAACATGGGAAACAAATATTGTTATGAAACTCCAGCTGTTGTCAGTAATGCTGTTCTGCTATTTAATTTTAATTTGTTTACAAGGAAAGTTGTTTCTTGATGCCATGTGATCAATGAATTATTGTTTTGCATATATTTTAAACTTGCTGTAACCCGCGGGCTTTGCCCCGTTTAACTTCTTAATTTCAAGATGATCTCGTTTGCATGGCTCAATCACGTCCTGACGTCCTAGTTGAAGTTCGCTACGCTAACTCGCCTCCAGGTTGAAGTTCGTTCGCTACGCTCACTCACCTTTTGGTTGCAAATTAGCTGTTGTCATAAATGTAAAAGAAATAATAGTGCTGCACCCTGTTGGTAATCCTTGTAACTTTAATGCTATTGAACATCATAGAACTGTATTGAAACAGCTGTTAAGATTCATTAATTTAATTTAAATATGAGTACTCATAAGATTAACATGGGAAACTCCAGAGCCACTGGGGCGGAGCCCAGAGGTCGGAGGGTAAAATCCTTTCTTAGTGAGCGTCTACTCTACCCAAAAAGAAGATGCCTGCCAAGTTTCAGGTTCCTAGGTCTTATGGTTTCTGAGATTTCGTGATGAGTGAGTGAGTCAGTGGTATTTGAGCTTTAAATATATATATATAGATTATATACACTATATAAAATGATAGTACTGTAATACAGTACATTAAGAGATCTTAATTTAAATAATCACTAAGCAGGATTGAACCTTTGCCTATATGTTTCCTGGTAAGTGTGTTGTAACTGTTTCTCATAGTATATTATAGTATCTTAAAGTAAAACCGAATTATTCTTTTCTGCATTCTCACCTCGTAGCGAAGCACGGGCAGGGCAACTAGTTTACTATAAAACTCAAAAACAGTAAATAACACACACACATTGTTTATGGTATAGGCTTAATTAGTAAGGACTGTAAAAAATTCATATAATGTCATACAGTAGTATAGACCTACTGCAAGATATTAAAATCCTAAAACAACCGATTTTTATAGCTAATAAACACAGAAAACATACCTACTAGTATGTTTTCTGTGCTAATGAATGAAAAGAATTAAAAATCCATAAAATCAAGTCAAACAATATGACACAATTAATTAGGTACCCGAAAAGTAACTCTTAAATAATATGGAAGTTTTAAGATTATGTTAAATCAAGAGAAAAGAAAGTTAAATGCTAACTTGGCAACATAAGCAGAGCCACTCAACCAATTGCCCTTAGCAACACAGGTCAATGTTTTTAATCTACCATCAATGGTTTTCGATCGAACAACTTCACAGATGCATTTTGATATTGGGAGAATAAGAGCTCAGCACGGTCATGGTAAAATTGTGAAGAATGTGATCTTTTGTAGTTACAATCAAATTGTGAATATCTTGTGCGGTTGCTGAGACATCATCCTCCTCCTCCTCCATTATCATGATCATTTGATCAACTGTGAACATTATAATATGATGATTAATATTTAAAGGAATTCACTTAATTCTGAATTCCGGCTAAAATTTTATGCTGGGTCCGAGAATGATCATTTGGGGATTTCTACCAGTATGACTTAGTTATTTTAATTTTAAGCTGTAAAGTTAAACAACTACTTAAACAAAGATTTTTTACTGATTGCTGTCAGAAACATATCTCTTCTACTTATAACTGAAATGAGGCTTAATGTTTTGAGTGAGTCTCTATACAAAGTCTTTACTAATAAACTTTCTATTCTACATAAATAATAACAAGGTGTTTTCAACACAAATAAAGCTTTTGTAGTCACACATTCTTTTCAACTGCAACCTTATCAAAACTCATTGAGTAAATTTTGTTATCAAAACCAGCTTATATGAATATAATAATTAGTTTAAACTGATTTTCTATTAGTTCCACTCAACATGCCAGCTGTTTTTGATGACAGGTCACGTCAGATCTTGGATGACTTCCGTGAGGCGTACCACTGGCTGTCCCACAATACTGCCAGTGACGCAAGGGTGATGAGCTGGTGGGACTATGGCTACCAGATTGCAGGCATGGCTAACAGAACTACTTTGGTAGATAACAACACTTGGAATAACAGCCACATCGCTCTGGTATGTGCAACAGGAATAAAGAAAAGAATCCAAATTGAAAATTAAATACTTCTATTTAGTGAGGTCTAAGTCAAATCAAATCAAATCAATCTTTATTGTCATGTGAAGAAGTTTTTTGAGATGGTTTTGAATTTTTTAAATTTGACTGCCATTTCCAGTATGGCTGATAACTTTAATTTTCCTTATGGAACACCCTGTATTTTATGATGTTTTTGGATAGGAAAGGAGATTTACAAATGTTTTTATTCCTAATAATTTTTGCATAAGTGAATGAACTATATAGCTAATAACTTTACTTTGTGGTTGGCTGACCAGGAATTGCTTTAAAAAAATATATAATATGTAAGACTTACTGTCTTGAAGCAATCCAGTTTTTGTACTCGGTGTACAGCTGTTTCGGCTTCATAAAGCCATCTTCAGCACATTCTTCTAGAGGTCAATCCATTATAATAAATATGCGAACATTCTGGTTCTTGTCAACTTTTTACAACACATTTTTACACAACATAAAGATGAAAACATAAACTTTGGTAGGCCTACCCTACTTGTATGTCGCGACATAACCTCACTTTTGACATGTGCTCAACTGACAGACTGTCAGTTGAGCACATGTCAAAAGTGAGGAGTGAGGAAGTGAGGTAATAACTGTTATGAAAATGATCATAGCCTACCAGTAAAAAAAGAAATATTGTTTTTTAAATAATATTTATTAAATTAAAAACCATAAACTTTAAGCAACTACAAAACTATTTTACAATAAATGCTCAAAAAGTTTTCCCCCTTGTTTGATGCACATTTCCAGACGTTCTCTGTGCTTTCTGTGTACAAGTGTTAAGGTCTTTTCGTTTTCGCTAGCAGCGTTGCACGCAGCTCGGATCCTCAACTTCATCTTCTCAGGTATTGTTGGTCGAGTTTTGTAAACTCCATCAATAGTTCCCTAATGGAAAAAAATCCAGCGGTGTGAGATCAGGTGACCTCAGAGGCCATGCTACTGGCCCCTGTCTTCCGATCCATCTCCCAGGAAAATCCCTATTTACAGCATCTCGGGCTATATTTCCGTAGTGGGGTGGTGTGCCATCTTGTTGTTACCACATTTGTTGATGGTCCTTCAAAGGAAATTCTTCTAACAGCACAGGAAGACGGTTCCCAATGAAGTTGGCATATTGAAATCTATCAAGAGTCCCATTATAAAAATGAGGCCCTAAAATTTTACCTTTGAAAATTAGAGTTACACACCATAACTTACATTCAATGACCACCTACTTTGTTGGTCAACAGTTTGCATCCTGTGAGGGTTTACTGTAGTCCAATAGTGCACGTTATGTGGATTGAGATGTCCTGTGCTAAGAACAGTTACTTCGTCTGAGAATAATACATTAGACAAGAAGGAAGGATTTACATTTATTTGTTGAATCATCCACCTACAAAATCCTAATCAGTTTCAAGAACTTCTTGGTTTACCGATACATGGTAAAGATGAAATTTATTCTTCTGTAATATTCTAAAAAAATTAAGCTCGGCTAATTTGACAGTTTTTCTCTATTTCACGAATACTGACATTGGGTTCAACATGGGCCATGTCCAAAACATCAGCTTCTAAATCAGGGTTTGTGGCAGGATGACTCCTTTTCCGTTTCCGATTAGTTAACATACCTGTAGTACGAGCCCTTTGTTCAAGCCGGTAGAAGGCATTGCTGGAAGATTTTTCTTCTGTTTTTGTGGCACTCACCAAGAATTAATTACATGTCCACTTGTTCCTTGAAATTCATGTTGGAACAAAACTTTTAATAATACTAGCATAAATATTAAATAGTAAAAAAGGGTTAAATAACAACAGATAAGCCTATGCACTTCACTTGATACGTTTCTTAGTAAACACTGATGCAGGAAGTGCTGTTAATAGCACCTGTAAATTTACGTTGTTGAACAGCTGATTTTCACTGTGTTCATGGATTTCAAAGCTAACAATTAATTAGGATAATTTTCGTAACACTCATTAACCGGTCCACTTACGCAAAATTAGCAAGAATAAACAGGGTGTCTCACATAAAGTAAACCAATAGCTAAATTTATTATGAGTCTGGCAGCTAAATTTATATGGGGCACTCCCCTTTATATCAAGACGTTTTTGGGACGATTTAAAATTTTAAAAATATGACCGCCATTTTTTAATATGGCCAACAACTTTAATTTTTCTTACGGCACATTCTGGATTTAGTGTCTATCTACAACTAACTTCACATTGAGTAAAAAAAAAACAATTGCAAATACTTTTTGTTAGTATTTTAAGATGCCTATGCATTTATGATCGTTTTCAACAATTTAAAAATAAATCGTATAAAAGAAGAGTAAAAAACCACCAAATATTTGATTTTTACAAACATTTCTTTGGAGTGAAAAGGTGTTGTTTGTTGCGAATACTATGGTGTGGGATGGTTTGAGCAGCTGGATCAAAGTTTAAATTTAAATAAGTATATAAGTGAAAATTTATTTCCAGCCTAACTCAAATTCTCCTTATATAGAAGACGTGGTTTGATAGGTAAATATCATTCAAAAAGTATGGTAGTCTAATTATTCTTCAGTATTTAATAGAGATGGACCGATTGCGATCCTCGATACTTCACTTCATTGTACTCAACACCGATTCTGAAAATGGGGTTAATTATGATGCAAAAAACGACTTACCTTAAATTTTAAAAAAATCCTTTAATGGTCAAACGTTTCTCAGTACAACTGCTTTTCAAAACAACTCTCATCATATTGTAAGTGACAATATTTTAATTAACAAAAAAAAATTAATAAAAAAAGTTTTAAATTAAAAAAAAGACTGCAGAAAGTCAATGCAATACCCGCAATACAGGAGCGTGTTGATGTTGCGTTTCCTTTGTGAAGGCGTTTTTATTTAATTAATTATTCTTTACATGGAAATATTGCTTCAATTGTTTTATTTTTTGGCATAGCGAATGATGAGAAGTTTTGAATCAGTTGTTAGTGTAAGCAGTGTGAGACATGTTTTACTACTGTAAACATAGCCAAAATAAGTCACTCCAAAATCATTCTAAAAATAACACAAGACTTAAAAAATTGTTACTGCCGAAAACATTTTATCAGTACAGATCACCTTTGTACTGTACCGGCTCACTCCTTGCTTTGCTGTATACGATCCACGCACGGGCGGTTAGTCTATGTGGAGAAGCAAATGCAAAGTTAAATAAAAGAGGCCACGAACCTCCAACTATATCACGAACCTCCAACTATATACTAACTGATATCTCCATGTTTCCTATGCCGATGAGTTATTTTTAATAAGTTAGACCTTATTAATATTTTTTTTATACTGATGTGTATGTTTTTTGTACTGATGTTTTTTGATACTGATGTGTGTTATTAATGTTTTTTAATAAAGGATTTTAAATATTTTGGTCTATTATTATTATTTTTGTACGGTATTTAACCAGTCCGTCATAAATTAGTAGGTATATTTAAAAACGTTTAAAAAATCTGGTTAAAATGTGGAATGTGCATTTCCCGTTATGTATGAGAAAAGAAATCCCGTCTCTATCTCGTCTCAAAATTTAATGAGAAATAAAAATCCCGTCTCGGCTCGTCTCGAACTAAAAATCTCGTCCATCCCTACGGAAAATACCGACTGAGTCAGAGATTTATGATACAATAGAATTGGGTAAAGTCGTAAAGGATTCAAATTGATAAAACTCAACAGTTCTTGGAAGTACTTGAGTAAAACAATTATTGTCGTGATAAAATATTAATGGATTTGGGACTGATAATGGGTCTTTTATTCCATCATCTTATTGTATTCCCTTGTAATAAATGATCAAGATCGTAAACAAACATCCGATAAGCCTTTTTTGTGCTCAATCAACTACGATAATTTATTTTTATAATAGGCTGTAAACTGAAACCGCAGACCCCTACTTAAGTCATGTTAAAATGTATGTCTTTTTGAAGTATCTTATTATTCTTATAAGCTAACCTAATCAATGTAACCTTAATCAATAGCAATGAAGTTAACTTATTGTATAAAGATCAAATAACATGCTTTTTTGTTCATAAGAACAAACACACATCTATGTTATTAAGTGAATTTATACAGATATTGGTATCGAGTGCAGAATCAAGAATTAAAAACCAAAGTTCTGGAATCAGAATCATTATTGGAATTGGCCAATTTCAAAATCGGCCCATGACTAGTATTAAATGTTTTAAGATTCCTTTTTATTGTTGTTTGTGTAGGTTGGTAAGGCAATGTCATCGACCGAAGAAGATGCTTACAAGATAATGTTATCCTTGGATGTAGACTATGTTCTGGTGATCTTTGGTGGAGTGATCGGCTACTCTGGTGATGATATCAACAAGTTTCTATGGATGGTTCGTATTGCTGAAGGAGAGCATCCAAAAGACATCAGGGTAAGGATTCATACTTCTGTTGATAGATTATTCCTATGCTAAAGAATATGCAAGTGTATTCAGCTATTTTTGATTCTTCATGTAACCCTAAAGTAAGTAGCATGTGCTTGTAGTTTGTTTCATAATGTTTATTACGTCTTGTACCAGGAGAGTGACTACTTCACAGACAGAGGAGAGTTCAGAGTAGATGCAGAAGGATCTCCTACTCTACTCAACTGCCTCATGTACAAACTCAGCTATTATCGCTTTGGAGATCTTAAGGTGAATATAACGAATTTGGGTTTGGCTTATTGCTTTAGTATTAAGATTTGGCACTGTAAATAAATATTAACAATTGAATATTTTGTTTGACACGTTGACTGCGGACTACTGCTATAGCAGTAGCGCGGCACTGGCACTGCTCGCTGCCTACTGCTATATCAGTAGTGTGCTTGCCTGCCAAATGTTGCGTCTGTCTGAGCCCATCACACAGCCGGCGACAATGTGATTGTTGCCAGGCTATAGCTTAGAATACGAGGTTTATTTTGGTGTAGGTTGGTACTAAACATTCCCGTAAAATCCCGTCTGGCAATGCTTCTGTCCTGTTTTCGGGGATTTTCTCTATTCGAGCCATATTACAAAGACTGGTTATTGATCCAGGCAGTGCTGCTACCTTTGGGTGTTTCAGTGAACTACGTCCACTTTCAGGGTAACGCAGAACAATCACCATTGATCTTTTGTCACATTCGTCTTTCTGAGATATTTCAATGCCAATAGCGACCACCGCAGTTTAGGAGTGCCTGTGTAAAGGTTTTCAGCAGTCAACGTGTTAAAAAGTACTCGTGTGATTTGAATCATAGGTTATCGCACCAAAATCTTATTTTTTTATGTAACCAAATCTTATAGTCTATTAAATCTTGTATTTTACTTTTAAAATTAAACTTTTGAACTTTGTTCTAGTTGGACTATAGGAGTCCCGCAGGTTATGACAGAACTCGTAATGTCATCATAGGCAACCAAAACTTTGACCTTACGTACCTGGACGAGGCTTATACAACTGAGCATTGGCTTGTTCGCATTTATAGGTAAGAAACAAATGTTTCTTGTTGAGGATGAATATTGAGTGTTTTTATCAATTTATAAATTATTTGAACATAGGCCAATGATTTTCAAATTAATAAAAAAAAAACAAGTTCTAATAGTTTACAGTGTGTTATGTGTTTAAAAAAATTACAAGGATGTACATTTTTTTCAAGTGGTGAATCTGGTGTCACCTCTAACACTCATCCATGCAACTAATTGTAAATTGATTGATTACTGTTTGTGCTTAGTTGCTATACCATTGACACCATCAGCAGTAAGTAGTAGTACTAATTGAAACTTAAATTCATCTACTGTCCAACTATGTATGCTGGTCAACTATGTATGCTGGTCAACTATGTATGCTGGTCAACTATGTATGCTGGTCAAAATCAGCATAAAATACACTTTGATAATACAATGCATTACACAAAACCATTATTTATTTATTGATATTCACTCATTTTATTTCAGAGTAAAAAAGGAAGATGATTTTAATAGACCTAGAATCCCGGTTGGAGAAAGAAAAATCAAACGCACAGAAGTTTTTGTATCCAAAAAGGTATGTAAACGGTAAGAAAAAAAGATATGTCCCGAAAATTCAGGAAAAATATATTTCTGGTCATCTAAACAGTATTACATTTGATTCAGGATTTTTCGGGACAGGATTTGTTCCAATCCTGAGCGAATTTGCCGTGTTGCGAGTGACAATAATGGGAGATGATCAAGATGGTGCTACGATCGTGGATTATAGTTATGATGACATTCTGATAGGTTCACTTTACTAAACTTATAATTACTAAAATTAATACCGTTTTTCTACTGGTAACCGTATCTAGCCTCTAAATCCTATACAGATTTTAAAAATTCTGTGATGGTCAGTTTAATCCGTAGGGGAAGGAATCGATGCACTGCCTGCAGTACCCTCGGATGGTAATTTAATTTTACCAAATCTGTAAACTTTTACTTTAATTGTTATAGAAAGAAAACATTTAGGGGTGATTTAATAATTATTTTAGTATTTTACCATTTTGTTCACAATAATGTCTGCAACAAAATGCTAATTAGATATTCAAACTTCATGTTCCCCTCCGGATATTCAAAGTATGATATTTAAAAAAATTAATAAATTATAATTAGGGAACACGTCTAGAACTGTGCCCAATTGTCATAAAACCTTCCATTTCACCTGTTATATGTCATGCAAGCAAGTAGACACGTTTTTTTACCTTACGTTTTTCTCCATTTCATAGATCTGTCACAATATGTATAGTATCAAATTCAGTAATAGTATTGACTACATAAACTTTAACACTTTTTTTTGGTCCTAGGACGCTAGGCACGAGCCTGGGATTGTTTTTCACATTACTTCAGGCTAGGGTTGCAGCATCATCACTTAGATAAAATCCATTGGTGACTTGGCGGGGATCGAACCCGGGACCTGAGGGACTGAAGTCCCGCGCTCTAACCACTACGCCAGCTCGCTCCCCAAACTTTAACACTAGTGTTTATATAGTCAATGGTAATAGGCTACTGGTACCGCTGATTGCTGATTGATGCCTGTGTAAAGTTAGTGGCTAGCAGACAATTTGACAACTAACTATGGAACATCAGGAAATCAGCTGTTTCACCGTCCTCGCTCGGCTCTCGCCTTTGCCCTAGCTTGTGTAACAGCTGACTGCTGTAAAAATTGGATGATGCGTACAACTTTCCATAGCGTAATATTGTTTTATTCTTTGTGCTATTGTCCACAAAGTTTATCTATGTGCAACTTAATACTACTCCTGCCATCGCTTATTAAGTTTAATAAAAACTACATTGATGTCTGTTTTATGACATTGCGTGTCATATGTGCAAATTGTTCAACATATGTGAATCTTCCTCGGGGTTTACGTTGTCCTTCATTGCCTATACCGGTAAAGATATGGTCTTTGATAACCTTATCATCCCCCCTAAATCAAATAAGCCCACTTCTATTTTCTCTCCCTTATGGAGCCATTTCCTGATAAAATATTTACCTTGTGGATGGATAATTGGTATAATTCCCCTGAGCTTTCAAAATTATTAAAAGAAAAAAAAGACAGACAAAATTATCAAGGAAAAATGTTCTAAATGAAATAAAAAGTCAAAAATTAGAAAAGGTGGAAATAATAGTAAAGCACAGTGGAGATGTGATTGTTATTAAGTGGCACAACTAAAGTATCGTCACTCTGTTGGCTTTCTTCGCACTTGCTCACGGAGGGTGGCCAAAACCCCTAGATAATATTCTTTATTCAGGGTTTGACCTTCAGGAACCCAATAAACATACAGAATTCCATGGATGTAAAAAAAAAAAACAATCATCATGGCATTGAATTTTGAATTTGACATTCGAGCTTTCTTCATTCATGGTGAATTCGAACTCTTCCAGTGCATTGATTGTCGCTTATTTTCTGGATCATAGGTAAAAAACCATGATTCATCACACGTAATAACTTTTTCCAACAGTTCAGGATGTTCCCTAATGTTTTAAGTTGTCAGAACAGAATTCTATCAGTGACTCCTTTTGTTCCGGCATGAGGATTTTTGGCACAATTTTGGAACACACTTTTCATATTAAAACGTTCATATAGTATTTTGCTGAATCGATTCTTTGTCAATTCCCAGTCTCGGCAACTCCACGGCTACTCAATCAACGATCTTGACGGATTCTTTACCTATATTCTCAATGTTTTCATCCGTCTTTGAGGTTGAAAGACGTCCTAGGCGCGGATCATCTTCATCTTCTCTCTCTTCTTTGAAATGCTTACCATTCAAAAACGTGTGTAGCCAACGTGACATACATTTTTCCCTTAACACTTGTTGTAAGAGACAATAAGTCTCTGTTGCTGATTCACCCAGCTTCACTAAAAACTTTACGTTAACACATTTCTCAATTAAGACGCCTACAATATTTCCGAGGAGCAGAACAACAGGAATGAAGGCTGAGGCCCGACTGAGCAAGCTAAGCTTGTCCAACTGGCTGGAATGTAGAGAGGGGATGTCAGGCGACTCGGCAATATGGTGTTTGACCTTGAGGCTCTCACGGTTTATCTCACAGAAAACCAGTCCCGTTATTTTATAGCCACACCTAGTAAAGTGAAATTCAATTTTTGAAGCAATCGTCAATGATGTCTAGTCGGGCATTTGTGATGTATTTTACTAATTGGTTATTTACAAACTCAAAATATTTTTCAGACAAGTCGACGGAGGAAAGGGAGTATAAAGAATAGGCCTGTAGTTGTGAAAGGAAAGAAGAACCCAACAAAGACATAGTGCCACGCTTCGCCTCGCACACAAGTGGTTGGGCTCTTGGACAACTCACGCGAGTGCCCTTTAGAGCAGTGAACACCATATGTATATACTTTATACATACTGTTTGAATGATGTTTCAAATTGTTTATTTTTGGGTTTTATTGTTGTGCAATAGAAAATGGAACAACTCTTGAAACAAATTTCCTTATTTAGAATGGTTTAGAGTATTCTCATTAGAGATAAAATGTTGTTATGTGGGTTACTGTGGATGAATGTTGATATTCATTTGTTATAATATCGATGGTTGACAAATAGGTTTATAGGTTTACAATTTAATGACACTATTAATTTATTTTAGACGTGATAAGTAGACAATGAGTACTACTGATATAAATTTAAACATTTAATGATATTTCTGCTATTACTTTTCAGATACTTAAACAAAACATTTAATTTCTTTACTTTAAAAAAGGTCACTAATTTCCAGCCTCACACTTTTCATGGAGTCGGCTCTAGCTTTTGTTGAGTATATGTAAGAGTTTTAACAGGTCTCCTATCCTCTCAGAGAGTCACCACTGTCCTGTCTATTGTCTATACAGTGATGTTGCAGAATCAACAAACTTATAGTTAGTTAGTCTGGGCAGTAGTTGCTTTGTTAGATGCTTCATAGTCAAAACTACTGAAGCAGTAAAAAAAAAAAAATACTAGACAAAAATATATAATTATTTAATAAAATTAAAATGTTAATGTTAGATATGCTTTTAAGTCACAATTCCTTTTTTCAATTTGATATCATAGTGCTCGAATTGTATAAAGCACGAAACTAAATGTAAACAAAAGGTCCTATTTTCAATTAGGCTAAATCTTTAAAAAATCAAGTTTATTTTTATTACGAATAATATTAATTTGGAGGACAAGTACTTCACTTTTTAAAATGCATTTTGTCTAATTTCTTAAGATTATTAAAAACTTGTCAATCTTTGGACACCCAATTAGTTCATATTAATAAGTGTTTACTGTAAACAGTTTCTTACATCAAGATAATGTCGTTACGAATAAATTAGCATGTAAATAGGTGGTACACTACTGCCATTTTTTAAGAAGGTTTTGCAAAATTGGAATGTTTGAACAAATTTTGTAAAATAATTGATCAAAAAATTTTACTTTGTTCAATCCTATTTGCTTGTTATATATTTATAAATCACGTATTGTGTATGAACAACATGCAGAAACAAAAGTCAAATGAACAATCATGACACACACTTTCTAAATGTTTTTTACTGAAAAATGAGGGAACTTGTATGAACTTGTATCAAGTTGTAAGAACATGTGTCAATTTGTGTTTTGGAAATAACTTTGTTTATTATTTTGATCAAAGAAGTTTATGAATACACTAATTGAGTTAGGATGGATTATATGATTATATCCTATTGGCTAGTGTTTATTTTCAATTTAATCAAAGCAGGAGTTAAGCAGAGTTTTCCTTCTGAACTGATTTATAGGTTTTTGAAAAATATGCTTTACTTAAAAAATGTGGGTTACGTTTCTTTGTAAAAAATGACACAATATGGCCCGCCGCACATTGGAGCGAGGCGAAGTGCAGGCGAGGCGCGACTGATTCTGTAATACACGTGTTTAAATGGAGCACCGCACATTGAGCAGAGGCTGCGCGCAGCCTCCGAGGCAGCCTCTGTCAGGCCTCCGCGGCGTTGTAGTTGGAATACTGTTTTCCTGCACCTCGCTCGCGCCTGCGTTGGTTTTCTAGTGTTTTGTGAGTGAAAGATATAGTAATGGAGCATTTAATTCAGATGGCTTGGCTATATGTTGCTGAGCATTGCATTCCTTTCCACTAATACCACTTTCAATCAAGTTATGGATATAATCAAACTGTTGTTTTTTCACACGAAAATATTCTCCAAAAGACCAGTCTGGCAGTTCAGTAGTTAAAACATAGTCTCCACTCCATGGCTTAATCTTTTTTTCATGTAATCACGTTTCCAAAAACATTTTTTACTTTTTTCGGATAGCGAATAGAGTCAAACGTAATTATTAAACTCACAATCAGAATCAGTAAGGTCCAAAGAATCTTCCTCTACTCGCGACGATAGGGCCAAAGCTAGGAAACCTCTGTCCCGCCATGTGCGGTGACACGAAAAAGTCCTCCCTCCCGCCTGCATCTAGCCTGCACCTCACCTGCTCCTCGCCTCGCTTCAATGTGCGGCGGGCCTATAACTTCTTATAGTCTATCAGCAGATTTGTATTAGTCTCACTTATGTAACCTAACCTCAAAATCACATTACCAAGTAGTTGTAGGATCGGGTGTTACTCTACTAGGATAAATTCCTAACTAAAGGCTATTGGAAGTTGTTTTGCACCTTTGTAAATAATAAAAATGTTAAGCTCATATTGCATCTTTTGTTTATTATATCTTTCCATTGCATAGAGTACTTAAAGAAGAATCATCTACATTGTAAAACTTGGTCTGTCTTTTTAGGGTGGTTATTGTTGTTCACAGGAAATTAGGTAAATTGATAAATCACTGCAGTAACATTTTAATTTACTCACAAACAAAAACTTCAGTGTAGAAATTCATGTTCTACTTTCAACTACATCTTGTTTTAAAATTTTCAGACTGATAAAGTTTTTTGTGAATATTTTTTGGTTTGTTTTGTATCATTTTTGTATTCAATTAAATCAAGGGAATAAAAAAGTAGAGATTACTATTGTAGTTACTCTGCTTGCTTAGTAAAGAGGAGTTTTTATAAACTCGTTATTATTAATTAGTATCTCAATTTCATTCATTCAATTTCACACTACAGTCCAAGAAAGCTTCAATGGCTTAACATCACTTATAAAATTTCATAAAAAAGTATAATTAAAATAGTTTAGTTAGTTATCATTATCAAGTAATTTCCGAACAAGAAGGCTAATAATAATTTAATGATTTTGTATTATACTTCTCTCAAATAAGTTTAGGCAGTTCATACATTGACCTTTTTACAAAAAATTTTTTTTGTTTAAACCTTTATAAAAACAAATATTTCTTAAATTTTGCTAATCATGAAAAATTTTTGGGATGGCTCTAATAAAACCTCTAAAAATAAATCCTTTCTCAGTGACAGGACTAATTTAGTTGGATATCAAAAGTGAACTTCCAATTTATGCTAATTTTCCACTCACTTGTTAGAGTCTGAACTACTCTTCTGAATTATTTGAGAAATGTTTACTTAGTGTGAAAAATGTACATCTTTATTTGAATATTTTGTTAAATCTATACAGTATTGTACATTGATTTTAGTTTTCCCAATTCGTGGATATTTGGATATAAATCTTACAAGTTACACATATACTACAATTGGAAAAAGAATAATAATGTTGTCAAACTTACTTTTCTATTATGCATAGCATAATTTCACCTTGTCAAATCATTAAGTGAGTTGCTACTTGGAACTTCCCTAATTAAAAAATATCACAATAAATTACAAAGTGTGAGCCAAATCTGGACAAATCACACGTGTGAGTTTTGTTGACAGCCTAGGTTTATTTAGACTAGTGTGTTATTATAACCGCTCGTCTGATATGGCTGTGGTGTGGATTGTGTGAGAAATGTTAGCAAAGACTGCACACTGTATTGTAAAATTTTATAAAAGAAAAAAAAAATATATATATATATATGGCTTTTAATGGAAAGTTAATGTGTATTGTTTACTCCTCCGCTTACCATTCTAAATTTTTTGAGGTAATTTCTCACATTACAGTTTATAAATTCCATTCATAGAGTAAACGTGTTTTTGTAAGCTCCTGTTTAAAAAATGATGTATAGTTGAAGAAATCCCTTTGTTTAAATAATTAGCAACTGGTTGTTTAAAGTGAGTTTCGCTGATTTTCCACTTGATTGTGATGAGTTTATCTATGCATATGACATCTCTGGATATGGAATAATAATAAGAGTTTTCCTACAGTCACCCGACAAAGTGGGCTTCCTTGCACTTGTTGTTATTATAGTAGAGAAAGCTGCTAATTGCTGCATTTACTTACTTTGCGCACACTTTTTACTTTGTCGCATAGTTTTTACTTTGTCACACACGAGTATTAAAACCCAACAACACAAAACAGTCTTCTTTTATTATGCACGTAATCCGTGTATGCTTGGAAATAGGTTGACAACACTTTCTACGACAACAAAATTTTGAATAAATACATAAAACAATGAAACAACATTCTGCCCCTTGATACTTGTGTGGTCGGTCATCTTTAGTTAGAACTGGCCTGTTTCTTAAATGTTTCATTGTTTTATGTATTTATTCGAAATTTTGTTCTTGACGTTGCGTACTGTGTTTATCGATGATTTTAGCTACTGATCAACTCTACATATGTACCTAAAGCTAAGATGGTGTATTAACACCGAAACATGTCCTGAATTGCAGGGCCGAACTTACCTATGGGCGGACGGGGCGAGCGCCCGGGGCCCCCAGGGGGCCCCCTGGCACAGTAGTTTTCCAAATAAGATCAACAATTAATTACGTGCTTACCAAATGTCCTCTCTCGTTTTTCGTAGTTCAAAATTACAATTGTGGGAAACTATTGCGAATACCGAAAATTGCCGCAATGGCGGGATATCGTCACAAATTTTGCCGCGATTGAAATACAATCCCAGAAAATGGCCGTGATTGCAAAAAATTGTCACAAGTATTGAGATTATGGTGGATGTTGCCGCAATCGCTTAAGACACTTACAACGTTACTGCAATTCTGGCGTTGCCGCGATCACGGGGAATCGTCACGAATATTGCCGCGATTGAAATATGATCCCAGATAATGGCCGCGATTGCAAAACATTGTCAAGATTATTGAGATTATGGTCACGAATTACGCTGATGGCCCAAAAAATAGTCACAGGATTTGAACAAAACGCTGGAGACGATCTCGGGGGTTTGCCGTGGACAGGGTTAAGGCAAAGTGTGGTTGTTTTGATTTTATTATCTCATTAAATAACCCATAAAATAAAATAAAAGTCGGAATTTAGATAAAAAACCCGGTTTTGATGTTTTATGGTCCTTATAATTCTAAACAAAGTAGTGTAACCGGGGAATTGCTGTAAAAATTACGGTTCAAATTGCAACTTTTGTTATTTTCCTTTATAAAATATCATAGTACTCCTACCGCCTACCCATGATAAAGGTTGTTGACAAGCTTATGAGAGAAAGTATATTACATGTGTTTAATTGTAGCCCCAAGTAAAGTATCTGTTGCCACAGCAGTTTTTTAATCTACGGTATAACAGTGAAAATCAATTTTAGATAATCCTTGTAGAACTGAATAAATGAATTTATTTCCCATATTACAAAACACTTTACAAACATAATAATTGTTGAGAAATGTAAACTGGTCACTTTTTCAAGTAGTGTGGCCAGTTAAAAGGTTAATACCACCTTAGAACTACTTGTGTTAGAACTACTTTGTGCTATTTTATTTTTATCTTTACTGAATTTTTGAATTATTTGTTACAAAGGATATTACACTTTAATCTGTGCCTATTGATACAATAAGACTTTAGTAGGCCTATCCAGTAGGGAATGATCATAGCCGTCTCTAGTAATAAGGCCGCGACCTTCGATGTGGCAACGCCGCGACTCATCCCCACCCTGGTCCAACTCCGGGTATTGCCGCTAGCGGTAAAACGTGCAACGTTTCGCCTAAACTGCGCTTATTCACATTAAAAGCTATCAAAATGGAACCAGTTCAATAGATTCATTTTTAGCATGAAATGGTGCTTACAATGTTACACATAGTATTACGAAATACTAATTAATACATGTTTATATAAACGTATATTCACCACTTAATTCCAAACCCTGAATATTATGCACAAGCGCTATACATAGTAATAAAAACTGATCCACTTTGGAACCTAATGAGTTTATTAAAGACTCTTAAAAATAGGCCTAGAGAGATTGTAGCCGGTTTGAATGAAAAAGAAAGGTTTATTTTAAACATATTTTATTCAAAAAGAGATTACTCTGTTTAGAAATATGATGTAACTTAAGATAATATTGTGACTTTCCTTTTACTGGATTTTACATTTAGTTTGTCATTTTTCCTTTTTGTGTAGTTACTTAGAAGCACATTTGACATTTTAAAAATCACATCTGATGCTAATTTTGCATAAGCCCGCCCACATTCACAAGATTTACTTAAGTCTACTACAATACTGTTGTCATTAAGAATGCCGATTTCAGCTAAAGTTACTAGATCACGTCTCTGATCGCTGCTCAGTAAAAATGCTTCTTCGAACTCTTCTGATATTAACGTCTGCATAATACCTAGTACATGTTTACCTGTGCAAACCACAAAATCACTAGGGTTAGATAAACCACCCCGGTTAATAGTTTGAAAATAAACATCATCTGTGTTAATTGGGCTTACAACCAGTGAAATACAACTTTTACATTGAACTAGTGGCTTGAAGGGGCAATAGCCCCTATATATATTCTAGTAATTATTTTGTACAATTTATTAGTCTCATGGGTTACCCTACCTTGATTGTAGTATAAGATTTTTTATATTATAATATGTATAATAGTTATTACATACCTGTATAAAGCATTTTGATGTCTGCTCTGTTAAAAATTAAAATTCCAAAGGACTTTTCATGCCCCCAAATTATCATGCCCAGACCTTTAACATAAGACCTCTCCCAGCTTTTTACGGCCTCCCGTTCGCTCACAATTTCATTGTAAAATGTTGGGCTTACGGAGTTAGATATATAGATTTTATGTGAAAATTTCCCTTGTAAACTTAAATGGCATATTACGATCTGTAGTTATTAGTTTTATTTTTGGCCAGAAAAATTGTTCACTTTGCTTCTCAAGTAATTACTACTAATTTTACACTTTTTTTAGACATAGGTACCTAACACAACCAATCGTACTCCATTAACTAATCCAGACCCTAGGTTAATATTTCTAATGAGCATTACTATTGAACCAACTTTTAAAACTAATTTGTGTGGTGGCATTCCAGATGGTGCAATTGAAATACGGTTGTATATAGTCAATTAGTATTTTAAACCTCTCTTTAGGGTTAGTATACATTTTACAGTACATTACATACTGTATTACCATATGCTTTAAATAAAGTTAAACCACATGTATTAAAGTAAACAAAGCAGACATGACATAGATTCCCATGTTATTTAAATGTGAATTATTTTATTCCATAAGGACCTTTTGGTGCATAATTAAGAAAAATGGATAGTTTTCCCTCAAAATTCACGTCAAGACCTTTAAAATAAGACCCCTCCCATCCTTCTACGGCCATCCAGTCACTCACAATTTCTTTACAAAAATTTGACTTACGGAATTATATATATAGATGTTAGTAGTTATTTTGAAGCTAATATAGC